AGCACATTTGAGGAGCTGGAACCAGCAAATGTTTGACATTTTTGCTTGATACCTGACACGAAGCAGCTACAATCAATATTCATTATATTATAAATGGATTAAAATCACCGGACTCGGCAGTCGTTTTTGGTGAAAAACAAGCTGTAGCCTAAAATGGCACACAGACCAAATTAGTGAGTAGCTACTGGACATAGTGGAGCATTTAGCAGATAAAGAGTTAGATATTTCCCTCAGCCAGTGGAGATAAAAGAGCTGAAAGGACAATGTATATTGGAGTAATTCAGCATTTACGCAATGTTGATAGCAGAAAAGGAAAAACACCCCTTATTCCAACTTGGGAGTGGCAATGTGATTAATAGCTTAAATTAGCTACTTTAGTTACATTATGTATTTGTTACCAAGTGAAACCAGATACAAACAAAACTATTAAAAATTTGCTGAATTAATTGTATTAGTATAAATATTGGTTATTACACTTATTGACATGTCTGCTGTTCTTTTCACCAAGTGGTAGATATCGCCTGTCAGAAATTCGCAGTATCTCCGATACTTGTGTTTCCCCACTCAGCTGCTTGTAATTAAGGTTTAAACAATGATATAAACGTAGTATTATGTTCATCAGGTTGACATAATGACTTATATCCACTCATATACACACAGGAGCATCAACATGCAGTGCAGTTTAAGTGACATCCTCTGAGACTCCCTGGTTCCCTGGACCAGAGGAGTAGTAATCTATTCTTAAGGAGGTGATGAGTGACTGCACACACACGTAATCCGTCCTACCCCATGCCAAGACAATCTGGCAGCACTGTGTCTCACACGTGAAGGGAGTAAGGCAAAAGGGAGAAAAAAAGAAAAACACAAACAACTCAGCTGCAATCTGCCTCCCTCTGGCATGAGCGTACGAGAAAGCACAAAGATATTTCTCTAACCTCCTAATACCCTTCTAAGGTGACTTATAGCTCTGTCATTTGGCTATAAAGACCATTCTCTTCTCTTGACCACCCTCAAAATATAGATATATATTATTTCTGTAATATTCTTATAGAATTCAGATTTTTAGCCACCACACTGTAATATTTCTCATAATAGATGGATTGCTGTGACGTTCACATTCCCCAGAGGATGAATCCTCCTGACTCTAATCAATTCTTCTAGCTCCACCATGAGGTTGACATTTGTGGTTATGGGTAAAACGCACACATTCATGTCCCCCCTCATGATGAATAACAATGTTAGATTACAAACAGGCAAACTAAGATGGTGAACAGTGTGTTAGCATGACCATCGGAAGCATGTAAGTACAGCCTCAGAGAGCCGCTACCATGGCTGTAGCTTTGTTATCTTATTGCACTGCTCTAGATTTTTCATCATGGTGTCCCACAGATTTGCAGTTGCATGTTACATAACCACAAACTCTTTAGGTTTCTTATTAGTTTTTGTACAAGGCCCACTGTGCACAGAACAAGGCCTTTAACAATGACAAATACAAAGATTTAAAAATAAACTTATTTCCATATAGTTTTTTGTCAAAGCCACTGGAGAGGGGCTTAAGAGCTGTAGGTTACCTACCCGCTATTGGTTGTTACATAACAATTCTGTCTAAGGATACACTACCAGGGTTGGGGGAATCGTTTCTACATTTACTCTAGAATAACACAGCCACTTCTGTGAAGTATTCACTTTAGCCTCATCTCCAGCATAGGCAGCTGTGTATTCTAATGTATTCTGCACTAAATCTTATAAGTAGAACCCTAATGGACGAGGTGCCTTGGGGACAAGCTGTGACTTTGAGTCTGCAGGTTAATTAATCAGCAGGTAGTTGGCTTGAAAACGTTTATAAGCCGCCGAGATGGGAGGTGGTCCAGGGTCCACTACACACTTACAAGGAGGAAGGGCAGCAAGGTGGGTGGGGGGTATCTGCAGACGCTGAAGGTAAAAGATTACATTTTCACACCGATTAACAGATAAGAAGCTTTGGCGTAGCTGCAGGCACCATGGGACAGAGTGCGTGTATATGTGTGCACGTCCTTGTTCACACCAGCAGGTCACTAAAGGCAATTATGGTTTTAAGTCAGTGGGTCTGAATCAATTATTACACACCAACTTCCTCAAAATGCATTTGTCTAAGATTTAAAAAATCTAATTCATCTACTTCAATTTAACTCTACTTAATCACATAACCTAATTATGGGGATTAAAATGCATACATTTCTTTAATTTCTGTTACCTCTTTTCTTAACTTTTAATCAAGTCCAACACTTTTTGTTAATCATGACATCATAGCATTTTAAGCAGATAAAAATAAACTGTAGAAAAGCTGAACGTTTCACTCCCTACAGTTTTTCCACTGAAGATAAATCACACTGGAATACTCAACGTTTTATGAACCATCACCTACAGATGTGATATTTCGATGCTAGCCCAAGAAATGTAGGATATATCACAAGGCTTACATGTTTGACATTGCAGTAATCTTGAGAAATATCAGGCACACCGATAGCCGACATAAACGGCACCAATAACCCTGCAGTGGATAGTAACACTTCATGGGCGTGACCTGTACGTCTTTACTCATGTACAGTGCCTTGCGAAAGTATTCGGCCCCCTTGAACTTTTCAACCTTTTGACACATTTCAGGCTTCAAACATAAAGATATAAAATTTTTATTTTTTGTGAAGAATCACCAACAAGTGGGACACAATTGTGAAGTGGAACGAAAT